CTGACTAAAGAACCATAACTCTTCATTTTCAGGATGAAAGTCTTCATTCATGGTTCTGTTAAGTTTGGTGAAACTGTTGATGTTTGAAAGAAAGTTCAAACAAGAAAAAGAATCCTAGTATCTGTAAAAACCTTATTATACCTGTTTGCTTCACAATACTTCAAAAACTAAATGAAATTAAAAGTAGCCAATAACATTTCATTAACTTTTAATGAGTTCAGAATAAAGAATATAAGAATACATGTAAATGACAATATTTGGCTAAGGTTCAAAGATCACGAATGAAACATACTGTACCACATTAACTCACATTCATTGGTGGATTTGAATGGTTGCTAACCTACAGAGTCATTTAACATAATAACAAAAAATTCCAGAAGGATCTTGATGCTCCCAATTCCTGGATCTTTGTTCTTTGAAATTTGGATCTTTTATCTTTTTTCTTTCCTCTTTGCTCTTAATAATGCCAAATTTGAACATTCCTCTTCAGAAATAGCAATAATAATCTTTCACTGCCAAAACTAAGATTGAAAGTTGTAAACCATTTGGGTTTTTTTTATCAGTCTAAAAATCAAAAGGGTACAACTAATGACTGAGGGGAATGTAACCTACATGGAGAATTTCCGAAAGATCCATTCAGTATTTCTCCAGGAAAAGGGATACAAACTTTCATGGTCAAAATCCAAGATGGACACCTGTTAGCCTTTTTTCTGGTTTTCAGTCGAAAATCAAAAGAGCACAACTAAGGACAAAGGGACATCTACAAATTAAAATTGAGAAAGATTCATTTTGTGCTTCACTAGAAATAGCATTGTCAACTGGACAAAGGAAGTTGCTTGCAGGACTTCTCTGGGAAACAAAGACAATAATATGTCTTTGTCAAAATCCAAGAAGTTGGCTATCCTATTTTTCCTATCTGTCCCAAAACAAAACATGCATAACTACTGACTAAGGAAAAGCTACATATGAAACTTAAAGATCCATCAAATGCTAATCAAGAAATAGTGATAACAAACTATGTCTGGCAAAAACCAAGATGTCTGACTATAAGCCACTTTGTCCAAAACCTTGGATCAAGGCAAACTCTAAATGAAATTTGAGAATGATCTCCAGTGATTCTTCAGATACAGCAATAACAAGAATTGTTTAAGAACTGATGATTTGATTGCAGATATGGGCAAAAAAATATTATAAGAAACGTTAGATATCACATTATGATCTTCAGGTACCCATTAATGGAGGCAAATGAATGAATCAATTGAATTAACAGTAACAATATTTAAGTATCAAAACCACAGATGATTGTCTGTTGGCTATCCTCCTCTTCCATTCAGCCACCAAGGTATACTAAAACATGCACAACTTGAGACAAACCAGATTGGACATATGGAAATAGAGAAATATTTTGTCTTTATTTCTTAAAACTCTCAACTGAACATTTTTCAATATGCATTTATAATAAAATCTACTGTACATTTGAAATTTAAGGAAAATATTTTCTGAAACGGTGATAATATAAATGAATTACTAAAATAAAGAATGTCCACTTGTCTGTCATTTTGCCTTCAAATCAGTCTCAAATTTGAACTCTCAAACATTTTCTAAGAGACATTGATAACAAAATTTATTGTTCAAATCAAGGGTGGCCTCTTTCTTAAATGTATCAACCTTTTTTCCAATTTTGTTTTCAGGGGTCTCCCCTCTTATTTCTTTTTTTACATGATCAATCTCATATAATTGAAAATGAAACAAAGATTTAAGTTAATCTACATATGCTACATGAGAAATATGATATAACCATCGGGAACTGCTTTAGAAATAAGGTCACAAAGACATGATAAAGATTTGATGGACAATAATCCAAGGTCTTGTGACGTGTTTTGTTAGTCAATACTGAATATACTATAGATGTTGGCTTGTTTAATAGTTCAAATTTTTGCTGTTTTTTTCTTTTCTTTTTTATCAAAACCTTGAATCAACAAGGACACAGAAGTCACAAAGCAGACTTGTTATCTCTATTCATTAAATTTTTTCAATGTCAATTCTTGACAATTTCATTCCATTTCCATTAATAATAGAAATGATCTGTTGCAGGATGTGCATAACATTACAATGATCACAGACAAGGGGCATTAGAAAAACTTGTCTGATTTAAAATGGTACCATGTAAACTAGAAAGATACAGAATTCAAGAGATGGTGACCATTTTATCGAAACAAGCATTCTGAGATTATGGCTATTGTGATATGAAATAGCACTTCCATCAGCTTGTTTTGTAAAAGAATTCAAAATTTTCAAAAGATAAAGTAAATTATTTCATATAAATGTGACAGACCAAAGAAAGAATAAATTTAATCGCAGTTCATAAACTGTAACTGCGTCTAAGACTGATGAAAGGAAATGTCGGTTTTAATTGTACTTACAAGTAGCTACATTCTAAATGCAAATGTCAGTAATGTAGAAATCAACTAGTGTCATTGTAGATATATTGTGATCTATATATCAAAAGAATTTACATTTGCAAGATAGCATGAACAGAATAACAATACACGGACAAAGGCCATGACTCAGAGAAACCCCTAATGGAGATCATTATATAACGACACACTCATCCTAACACTGTATCTGGATCTTCTCAATGTGACCAACAACACTATAGGTGGAAGGAGTTCGATTCACAAGAATGACATCATCTTAATGGAAAAGTGTCGAAATTCTGAGTAATTTGAAAAAAAAAAAAAAAAAAAAACATTACACCAGTCTGAAATTGTGACACAAAGTTTTATCATTATGCAATCTATGTATTATTTCGGTGGAGATACAAAAAAAAGATATATTCACAAAGGGACCAACTCAGATTTAGAGAAAGTAAAAAGACGTCATCTCCCTTTGAACCATTAGAGTGCTAATTATAGTAAGCAATGATGAAAACTTTACCAATTTGTCTAGTATGAAAACTAAGCCTATTTAATTTCTCTTTAAAGATATGTAAATTTGTGCTGTACAATAAAAGTGAAATTTCTTTCTATTACATCAAAATCAAGTTATTTCAATAGTATGTATATTTACACCTCTTCATATTTACAACCTCAACATACATGTCATTTTGATAAAATGATACAAATATTACATGTTCAATATATGTAGTACATAATTACATACCTGTATATCACAGACAACACTTTGAATTAAAAACATCACATATTCTTACCACATCTTACCAGAACATTTAACCATAAACAGAGAAAAATCCCCACGAGGTGAAAATTTGTCATAAAACAAGGTCTAATGAGCGTAAATGTATATTTTACCCAAGTATAGTTCAAATAGTGTATGCAGAGTTCTCTCCAGTAAATAAAGCAAAAAAGAAGAGGAGTAACTCCAGAAGCCAGGACCAGGTTTCAGATCAGTGTTTTATTCTTTCATCAACAGAGCTGGTAGCCAACAGAATAGTAACAGGTAAAGACTTTTTCTCCACAAGACAATCTATTTCAGGATTTCTAAATGTGTACATTTTCATACAAAAGAGAAAATGATATTTAATAGGCAACATTTTTAACATTTGTAATTTGGGAACATGTCAATTAATATATAATCCAAGATAAAAAAATTCCTGTTTTGAAATAATATCATGTCAACCAAATTCAAAATTATGTCAACTTCTTTGTAATCAGCGATTACAAGAGAAAATATTTAGAGTTTCCATGAAGCCTCTTAATTGGAAAAGAACATATCTATTATAATTCTACAATGTTACTTTTTTAAGATGCCTTAACCTTATTTTTAAGTATATACTTTAATAATCTTCCCAAGACTTACTTATAGTTTAGGATATCACATATCCAAATACTTTGTCTTCAAGTTTCATGTTTTGCAATATCTTTTTATTGTAATTTGTCTTTGTATGGGCTTTTTTTCTGAAAATTACTGTTTTATAGTTTTAAATGAGAGGAATTTTTTGTGTGAAAATGAAAGACTAGAAATGTTTGCACTCATTTCACCTTTGATTTAATGAGGTCACAGTGACCTTGCTTTATCAGTGCAATGCATGCAGCACGTGAAAGATTCATATTCTTAAAAATTCAAGCATCTCTACGACATTTTAATAGCTTCATACATGTAGTTATAATGCAGGCATATTCATATTAGAATATGTCAATGTTTATTCAAAGGGAGACAACCATATGAAAAATAATCAAACTGAGGTTTATAAAGAGTAATGCACCTGTAACACCTGTGAAAAAGAATCCAGTTAAGTGAATGGTCATCTTTCCTTTGGCTATACATGGAAGCTGAAGCAACCAAAACAAATTTTTTAAACGGTACTGAGTTACTTCCCTTATTAGATTTGTTACACCTGGATAGCACCAATGATAAGTTGTATGATAGCAGCCATATTAGTTTTCCATTTTGAGTTTTGTCTTTAATGTCAATTCTTAGTTTTGTTTTCAGATGAAATTGTTTTTAGCTAAAAGTCTATAAAATTAATTGCAGAATTACATACTTTTCTTCCACAAAAATAATTTACATATTCATAATACTAAAACTGAAGTGTAAATGATCAAATCTAACTTAAACGATGGTGTCTTTTACTTAATAAGAATTAACATCTATCAGGTAATTCTGTGGTAGGAAATGATCTTATAGGAGGTTTACCTTCATCTCAATTTCACATTGGCATACTGTCAGTTAAATCTGGAGTAACCAACAGGACTTATCAATGTATCTACAAAACCCCATAAAATCCTATCAAAAATAACTTTTCATGACAAAATTCTAACTTTCTTTAATAAACAAAATGAAACATATTAAGATTTCCAATATAAAAACTAAACTGCCATTATTCTTACTGAAACATTCTCTAAGTAACACTCATCCAATACTGTTTTCTTTTAAATATAACTTTGCATGATTTTAACTTTTAAAGGGAAAATGATTTCATCAGACAAAAATTTTAATATTGTACATAAAAAATATTAAAGATTTTGATCACATTGTAGTCAGGAATGTATTAAATCCCATTTACTTGTTGAAAAATTTGAAACCTCTCTATCCCCAACTTCAATGTCTGTGTCTGTTTCTGAAGAAGTGTTCGTGGTTAAGTCCAAAGGACCATCTTGACACTTCTCATCCTGGTCATCAGAGCTCTTGTCTGTGCTGAGATCAAGTTTAATTGGTGAAGTGGGAGAGAGGGAACTGAGGATACGATCTGTTTGAGTGGACGTCGTTTGTGTCGTTGTGACAGGTGTTGATAACATTGTAGACGATAAGAGAGGATTCGATGTGAAGCTTGATACATGCATAATGTTGTGTACTGACATGAGCTGTGATGGCATCGGTGAGGGAGGAAGGATACTACCTGGAGACAAGGGTAGAAATCTATTCACAGGAGGGGAGTGTATTGATCCGTGAGGGGAGCTTGTGGTGAGAGATGGGGATACGGGGGTAGGAATGTTTGATAAGTACAACGATTTGTTATTTTTGGCAATCTGTTTTTCATTTTCACGATAATAGTGTCCATGAGTTCGTACATGCTTACGGAGAGAACTCGGGTCTGTGTATCGTTTGTTACATCCTGGCATTTTACATATATAAGGTTTTTCCTCCTGGTGAGTCCGCACATGTTTGAATCTGTCACTTGAGTTTGAATATGCCTTGTTACATCCTTCAAAAGGACAAGCATATGGCTTCTCACCTGAAACATTGAAGTCATAAGACTGAGTTACAAATGGTCTTTATTGATAGGTGAAAGGATTAAATAACACGAAACTGCACTACAATAAAGAAAGATGGTAGGTCTGAAACTATATTGCCTTATATCCATGTTTAGTTGAAAATGTTACCATATACAGTTCACAAGTATCTCATATGGATCATTGAATGAATTTTGAAAGCTTTTTCTAGGATTTGAAACAGGTGGTTGGTCTTAAAAAGTAGACAGCTGAATACTACTGTGGTGAAGTAACATTCTACATTTTTCCTCAAACAAATGGAGGGTTCACAGTTGATAAATATGAAGTTATTTTTGTCAGCAGTTCAGTTGAAGAAATATCAGGTTTTTGGCAATTTTTATCAAAAATTTAACAATGCAGTGGAATGTGTAGATTTTCAGAATATCATATTCATATGGTGGCATAATCATATGTCAATGTTTCAAGTGCTTCATTTTGAAAGGGTCAACTCTCTTTAATGTTGACTCTCCATGTTCTTACCTGTATGAGACCTGTTGTGTATTTTGAGATTTTCTAGTCGTGAGAAACACTTTCCACAGATGCTACACTTGTGAGGTTTCTCGTTTGTGTGGGTACGAATATGAATCAACATCTTGTACCTAAAACACAGGTAAAGACAAGAACCATCTTTATTCTTTACAGTAACAAGAAGCCCATATAGTCTGTACCTGGTTTCGTCAAAGAAACTGCTTCATCTAAAGTAAATAGAAAGCAATTGAAATATTGATATCTAAATCCCCTCTTGGGTTCCGTCATTCCCGCCCGAGGGGGTCCAGACCTAATGAAACTCAGACAAGAAAAATGATTTAAAAGAATTTGTTCTATTTCCTCTATACGGCCAACCCTTCCGGGCCCTGGGGACTGAGATCCGCCATTTATACAAAATTGATAGCCCTTCACTAATGGATGCTTCAGACCAATTGGGACAAAAATCATGACATTCATACTGAAGAGAAAGATTTTGCTCAATTTGTCCTATTGGATTGGGTCCCATCTGATTAGACAAACAACCGCCATTTCTACAAAACTCATTCCCTTTACTAAAGGATGCTTTAGATTAAATTGGGACAGAATCCTGATATCCCTAATAGTAGAAGAAAGATATTGCTCTCGTTGGGCCACTTCTGCCTCGGGGAGAAGAGACCAAGCGTTTATACAGAACTGATACCCCTTCAACCAATGATACTTTTGACCAAATTTTATCAAAATCCAATCATTCCTACAGAAGGTCATGCAGATCCACTTAAGGATGAAACGGGTAAAAAAATACCAAATGAATGGAAGAAATTTACTTTGAAGCTGTTTTAATTGTTGACCCTAAATGGAATCTGTCTAGTACATGCAGTTATAATGATTTTTAATTTTTTAAACAAGCACCTTGTATATCATTTCCTTAATATGAAGAGAAATTTCCACTTTACATGCTTTTGAGAACTCACCTAGCATTGAAGCCTTTGCCTTTCCGTGGACAGCCATCCCATTTACACTGGTAGTCAATATCCGGACGTTCCACCTTGACGTGCGAGTCATTAACATGGTTTACTAAATCGTCCAATAGAATGAATTTTCTATCACAGCCGACCCAACGGCATCCATAAAACTCTATTCCTACTGCCTCTTTTTCGCTTGCAAATATTTTTATAAAAGACGGTGATGAGTCGGAGTTCGGCGATAACTGAGAGCTTGACTGAAATAAAACAGAAAAATAAATTATCAAACAAAGATATTTATTATGTATCAAACAATTTTAAATGTATTTCCTTTTGTGTCAGTTTAGATTTAGTTGTTGACCAAATGACCGGACTGTAACATATTGAAAAATAACATGCAGGTTACACTGAACATATTAAAAAAATTGAGTATAAGTTTGAGGGTTCCATTTCTAGTTTTTGTAATAGATACCACTCAACTTCAGATATTTTAAAATCATCTATTCATAATTATCCAGCGGAAGTTTTCTAAGAAATTATCTGAATCACATAAATTTGCCAAATTAAAGGTATACTGAGGCTTCAATTGATTAATATCCAAGGATAAGATTGACACATACTGTAAATATTCTGTATTAGAATGACATCAATTATCACCAATGGCAATCGATACAGATATGCCTATATAGCTATCAAGTTTTAATCTAGATTTTCCCTTAACAATTCCAATTTGTTTATTTTTGTAGATACAATAATTCTAAACAAGCTCAGCTATACCAATTTAACTACCTCCAACTGACTACATGTTGCTACATGTTTTCTTCGTGAATAAAATATTTGAAATATCAATATAATAGGTCAAATGGGCCTTCATCGCTCACAAGTATTTAATTTTTCTTCAAAAACAAAATTGTTTTTTGTCATAAAAACAATAACACACATTATCATAATTCAAGTGGGTACATACGATCAATTTTAACCAGTTTCTTACTAACACTAACAGCTTCTAATCTTCCACTCTAAAAAAAAAGACAGTTATTACCTGGATTACAGGTAAATGTAAAACTTTTTTACTCCAAAGATTCTTGGGCTTCATCCTAGGAACTTGTCAGTCAAATACCAGACCTCTCTGAATCTTATGGTTTGACAAAATTGGTATTAAGGTCTTAACCATGTGACCTTAAATATGAGTTAAGGTTTTCCCAAACTTTGTTGGGCTTTTTATCCTAGGAACCTATCAGCCAAATACCATGTTTCTGTACATTTTCGTTTGTCAGAAGAAATCAGTTAAAGGTTTAAACAAATCTGACGTTCTGCACCTATTATTTAGTCGGAGGGACTTGAAGAGGCCCATGAGCCTTAATGGTCATCTAACTATAAAGACCTATATATGACAGTGGCTAAGTAGGCTGTAAATACATTGCTCATCTACTCTTCACCTTACAAAGAAGACAATGTTGGTCAAGGTCATTTCTTTACAAACTTTGTTGGTTTTCATCCTTGGAACCTATCAGCCAAATACGATGTTTCTGTACATTTTGGTTTGTCAGAAGAAATTAGATAAAGGTTTAAACAAATTTGACCCCTTTGACCTTGAATATAGGTCAAAGGGCATTTTTCTTCCCAGACTTTGTCAGGCTTCATCCAAGCAACCTATCTGCCAAATACCATGATATTTGGTTTGTTGGTTACTGAGAAGAAGTTGTCTAAATGGTAAAGTCTATGCCTGACAATGAACAGAAGATGAGCCTCCAGCCACTGCATAAGCTTACACTTGGCCCTTGAGTCAGGTGGGTTTATAAAAATTGTGTCACAACATAATAGGATTATTTCTGTCATTCGAAAATTATACCTGTACACCTCCATCTCCATGAAGATCCAGACTTGGATGACCTAAAGAAAGAGGAGAGCCCAGGCCAGGGGAGGCAACTGTTGTGTCCATGAGACTAGATGTTGACAAATTCAAACCAACAGAGCCAACCGTGGCTATAATACTCGGCCGTATAAACTCTTGGACATCTTGTTGAATTGAACTAAAATTGGCATAAAGAGCTACAGGTAAAGCAACAGGGTTTTTGCTATCACAGGGAAATGACAAAGAGTCAATTCCCTGTGGACTTGTGGGAAGTGCCTGTGAAAGACACAATGGTGGCATTGAGGAACATAAGCTCTCTGAGCTACCATTGTTGTTAAAAGCACCAAGTCTGTTGCTGGAGCAAAGTGGTGGTGAATGGCTTGGAGAATCCATGTTGCTGGTCTGTTCTAGTAAATTACTAGTACTGCCCTCTGGTGATGGCAACATTAGCCGTTCCCCTCCTTCTTCATCCATCATAAGTTTGCCTGCAGAAATAAAAACATCAGAGCATTTCTTTAATGATGAAATATATATTCAAAAAGAATAAATTTTGTATTAAACCAGAGGCCCATGCCTTTTTGGTCCCCAGAGATAAATACTGTCATTTTTCTTGTAACATATTATGGAAATAATCTTGTTGATAAAGTAACATAACATGCACTACAGTGTATTTCTAATACAAAGGTAAACTGTGCATGACATAAGGTGCCATCCAACGCTAAGGCTTCTGTCCACATTTCAAAAGAAATTACACTTAAAAACTCCTTTTTGCTATACAAACTCTTCCCTCCATGAAGAGATGAAGAGTATTTAATAGATTTTATCAATCTGGGTATTGAGAGAATTTTCAAAATTTCAGTCAATTTGACCATTTTTGGAACTGGTGCCCATCAGCTGCTGGAGGTCAGCCCAGAACAATATGTATATATATCAATTTGGTACCTAAGACCCCTTTTTGGACTTGCCTCTCTGTCCCCCTAGGCCATTGGGGACCATATAATTTACAATTTTGGTTCACAAAAGAATTCTTTGAAATTATATCAGTTAGCATCATTTTGCCAGTTAATCAAATACAGTCATTTAAAGGTTTAAACAAAATAGATCCCTTTGAATATGGGTCAAGGTCACTTTTCCCCCAAACTTTGCCAGGCTAGGAATACATCAGCTAAACACCATTCCTATTTGCGTTTTGGTTAATCAGATTAAAGTTTTTCTAAGGTTTTATCAAATCTGACCCCGGTTACTTTGAATACAGGTCAAGGTCATTTCTATCTGCATTCTTTGTGGGGCTTCATCCCAACATTATAACATTCCGCCAGACAAATACCACAACATTTTGTGTGTTGGTTATTAAGAAGAAGGCATTTAAATGGAAAAGCTGACACTGGTTGGACAAATGGACAACAGATGCTGGGCCAAAGCAAAAGCTTTTACGGCCCTTTGGGACAGAGGAGCTAATAACTGACACTTAAGAAAACTTACCATTAACACATTGTTTATCAGGTGTTTTGCCATTAAGTATAGAACTGTTGTCATGTATGTTTTCGATGTTGAGCAAGCTGTGACCATCATTGTCTGTGAGACAGGTGGGTCCTTTTCCATTGCTACAGGTTGTTTCCTTACTGCTAGCTTTTTTGTGGAGACGACGAGCACAAGTGTTCAGTATAACCTATAAAATATCAGAGTAACATGTACATGCTTGTATAAAAAATTTAAATAATGGTTTTAAATAAGGTTTATCAGTTATATAAAACTTCTAAATGCCAATGTAATATTTTTGAACAAATTCATGACCTCTTTACAATAAACAGGCTATCCATGTCCCATATTTGAATTTTGCTCCAACCAAAATGATTTTCTTGAATAAAAGATCCAAGAGGGATCTTGGTGCCAACCATTGTCTGATCTTTTGGTTTGTAAAAGTTGCAAACTTTTTTCCTTTGTTTCAGCTCTAACTTTTGAAATTTAAAAAATGCTCTGCAAAGACAGCAATAATAATCCTTACTTTCAAATATATAGATATTAAGAAATTAAAATTCAGTGTCTTTTACAAATACAGAATAAAAATAATATTTGTTTTGCTACCTCAGTAAGCCTATATGGTTGCCTACATGATAATGATGTAATGGTTCAATTGTCTATTAGTCATTTTAGAAAAGGGAGATAATTATGGATATGAAAAAGAAAAAGTACTTGTAGAGATAAGAATCTTGAGGTTTTTCTTGTAAAACCAATTTTCATGATGCAATGCTTGTCATAACTTTAGAATGTATATCTTCCACTAAATCCAATTCATTTGTATATAATATAGATGCATAAGAGAACCCAATAAAACCCCTTGTAGGGAGCCCCTCTTACCTGCCTGTCATAGAGAGGAAAGGGGAGGCAAGTTGAGGGAGGGACTCAGTAAAGGTATGGTAAGTAGTATTTATTTCAGTAATAACTACTATATCTTTATTATAATACGAGTTTGTATTACGGTGGAGGACACTCACACATTCCAGTGCAAAACCAATTACAGGGCAATTTAGAAGGGCCAAAATAACACCCAAGGGGAATATTTGCCTGTGGACAGACAACATGGGATGGGATGCTTACTACTGACAAGGGATTAGCCTCTGACTGTGGCACAAGCAAAGGAACAACAGAAAAAAGGTCATCAGAAACAGAAGCCAAAGTTCTCAGGTAAAAGTCTGTAAAGGTGGTCTGTCTTATCCAGAAGGTGGCTGACAGACTTCCTGAAAGGAGAACCCAAGACGTAGCAAGAGCCCTGACGAGGGTTTTATTGGACTCTCTTTCCTTTATATTATATACAAATAAATTGGAATTAGTGGAAGAAATGCATATGCAATGAAATTATTCTTTAAAATTGTTTTGATATCATAATTGGTAATTGGTTTTCTAAAAAATTAGATTCTGTAAGCAGGTGTGACAAAATCTGGTGTAGATTTTTGCACTTCAGTATAGATATTCCCTCCCAAGTAAATTGTTAGAGATTTCCCCTCCGTAACATTTCATTAGACTGATGTTTTACTTCTTTCTTTCAGTCCACTAAACAAAAAATTGTTGTTTAACACGGCTGTTGTGCTTACTAGACATAGAAGAGGATATGGCAGCTATATTTGTGACAACATTTTAATCCACATGAAATGATAGAACATGTCCAAATTGTGTGAAAAACAACTGGACTTTACCTTGAAACTAGACCAATGTCGAGGAAGGGCCCCGCATAATACCTACCCCTTATGATTGAGTTTCTTAATATTAAGAAATATATGGACAGGTGTCAAGTATTGAAAGCAACTTTCATCAAAATCCAATGAAAATGGACAGATGGACAGATATATGGATCGACGGACAGGGAAACGGACGGACGGACAGACAGACGGACAGGGTGAACATTGAACTTGAATGAGGGGCTTATGTACCAAGTATCACAAAGCAAGTTTTAAAGAAATCCCAAATCATTCCTTCAGAAGATATTCTCTGTAAAACATTCAGCCAATCAGATTGCAGCAGCCTCATTAAATATGCGCGGAATTCGGCAAACATCGAACTTGAGTGAGGGACTTATGTACCAAGTATCATAAGCAAGTTTCATCGAAATCCCATCATTCCTTATCAAGATATCGCGTGGAAAGCGAAACCGACAGACATGTAAAACATTCAGCCAATCAGATTGCAGCAGCCTCATTAAATATGCGCGGAATTTGGCGAACATCGAACTTGAGCAAGGGACTTATGTACCAAGTATCATAAGCATGTTTCATCGAAATCCCATCATTCCTTCTCAAGATATCGCGCGGAAAGCGAAACCGACAGACATGTAAAACATTCAGCCAATCAGATTGCAGCAGCCTCATTAAATATGCGCGGAATTTGGCGAACATCGAACTTGAGCGAGGGACTTATGTACCAAGTATCATAAGCAAGTTTCATCGAAATCTCATCATTCCTTCTCAAGATATCGCGCAGAAAGCGAAACCGACAGACATGTAAAACATTCAGCCAATCAGATTGCAGCAGCCTCATTAAATATGCGCGGAATTCGGCAAACATCGAACTTGAGTGAGGGACTTATGTACCAAGTATCATAAGCAAGTTTCATCGAAATCCCATCATTCCTTCTCAAGATATCGCGTGGAAAGCGAAACCGACAGACATGTAAAACATTCAGCCAATCAGATTGCAGCAGCCTCATTAAATATGCGCGGAATTTGGCGAACATCGAACTTGAGCAAGGGACTTATGTACCAAGTATCATAAGCATGTTTCATCGAAATCCCATCATTCCTTCTCAAGATATCGCGCGGAAAGCAAAACCGACAGACATGTAAAACATTCAGCCAATCAGATTGCAGCAGCCTCATTAAATATGCGTGGAATTTGGCGAACATCGAACTTGAGCGAGGGACTTATGTACCAAGTATCATAAGCAAGTTTCATCGAAATCTCATCATTCCTTCTCAAGATATCGCGCGGAAAGCGAAACCGACAGACATGTAAAACATTCAGCCAATCAGATTGCAGCAGCCTCATTAAATATGCGCGGAATTCGGCAAACATCGAACTTGAGTAAGGGACTTATGTACCAAGTATCATAAGCAAGTTTCATCGAAATCCCATCATTCCTTCTCAAGATATCGCGCGGAAAGCGAAACCGACAGACATGTAAAACATTCAGCCAATCAGATTGCAGCAGCCTCATTAAATATGCGCGGAATTTGGCGAACATCGAACTTGAGCGAGGGACTTATGTACCAAGTATCATAAGCAAGTTTCATCAAAATCTCATCATTCCTTCTCAAGATATCGTGCGGAAAGCGAAACGGACAGACAGACAGACAGACAGACAGACAGACAGACAGACAGACAGACAGACAGACAGACAGACAGACAGACAGACAGACAGACAGACAGACGGACAGACAGACAGACAGACGGACAGACAGACAGACGGACAGACGGACAAGGTGATTACTATAGGGCACCCGCATCGCGATGCGGGGCCCTAATAATTGATGGACTAGATACCATATATAGGTAAGTCACATGCTCGGTGGTGTAGTACAAGGCAGAGTCAACAAAAATAATAATATCTCACCAACATACTTAGCACTATCCTTCTCCCTTCCCGCTACCCCACACAAACAAATTTAATTCACAGTTGAGTGATTTTTACCTGTGACAGATTATCTAACACTGGTTCCGAGTGAATATGCAGGTGAATAAAACATAACATACCTAAACACCTATTGCCTCGAATAACTGCCTTGAAAGAATAACCTGGCCATCTCTGGCCAATAATTAACACAGAAGAGCTTTTTCTTAAATCACTGAATGCTTTAATTCATTGTTGCTTTACATCCTATGAACAGTCAGGGTCATTTAAGGACATATCAGGTTTGGGTGATGGAGGAAAGTTCCTAAGAGAAAAAATAACCGACCTGCGGTTAGTACCTGGCGACTCCCCCCAAGTAGGCCTTGAACCCGCGATCCAGAGGTGGAGGGCTAGTGATAAAGACGGCCAGACACCTTAACTACTCAACAACTTCAGTCCCTTTAATCACTGAGCATGTTACATCATTTACAAGTGGTAGCAGATGTGACACACAGCTGAGCTGATATGATAATGTTATGGAGTTAATGTACCAGTAATTACATTGTTACTTATACATGCAGACTGCTGAAACCATTTTTTTTTCTAAATAGATTCTATTGATTTTATATCAGATTCAACACTATTATTATATTGCATGTTGACGGATTTTAATAATTTCATAAAACGTCCAACTTTTGACAGAATGACTGGAATATATTGAGCCTTAATGTGCTAAAATACATGTGCTATTTAAATTTTCAATAAAACATTTTTGAAAATTCTTTTTATTGAGTAATGTTCATAAATACATTTTTTGTTCTGCCATTCATAGTGGCATTTGCTTGCTCATTCCTATTATGACACATAGTAATATGTAACAAAGACTTACCTCTGATTTCATTCTTAGCTGCTTCCTTCGAAGTAGAGCAGTAACCACAGTGAAGCTGTGCTGTGACAATGCTGTATTGGCACAAGTGTCATCTTTCTTTACTACACCTCCTTTATAAAGGATATCCAATATCACAAGCACGAATCAGCTTCATCTGTAGAAATATCGTGAAAAACATTTAAGTGATGACAGGTACATTATTCCATCACAGTTATATAGCTATCTGACCTGAAAAACTGTCAATAAGTGGGCGTCTACTACTTCAGTCTTCAATTGCCTTGAAGATATACAAGAGGCCCCATTGGGCCTTTAAAAATGGTTATCAGACTAAGAATATATATACAATAGAGGTTCAAAGGGCCTGAATGGCTCAACTGTTTAACAGTTGATACAGAAGACACTGTCAGTTCATAAAGTCAATATCTGCAAGTTTGAATACTTATTTCTCAAGCATGCTACTAAAAAAATAACATGACTGAGGACCTATTGTTTATTGAAAGCAGAAATTTCCACATTTGATTCCGGTGACATTGAAAGACCTTTTGGTTATTGAAAAGCATTTGTTCAAAGATTTTAACACATTTGACCCCTGTGACCTTCAAAGTGGGTCAAGGTCATTCATTTGAACAAACTTGGTTCTTCTTTCATCCCAGCATACTAAAGGCCAAACATAAGAACCCTGTGCCTCTTGCATAAAGAGAAGAATTAATAAGTTGTTTGAATGGAAAGTTTACTCGCAACGATGGTCAAAACACCATGGCTATAAAGCCATTTTGACTCTTCTGTCACATGATCTTATACAAAGTATCAGTTAATAAAGATATCCCCAGGAAACTTCTAAATTAAATCTACATTCTAACATACAACACATTTCAGGTTGGCCAGTGGAATTTTCAAATTATACCTATCCCATGACACTTTTTCTCATATTCTAAATTTAAAACATTGCACAGTGCATTTTTTTTATCAAGATACAAACTTTCAAGGTCTAACATATATATCCTTTTAATGGTGTTTTCTGTACCTGTTATAATCTAATATATCTAAATCAAATATAGTGTATGATCGATGAAGTAATAACATCATTAAAATTCACTGTCAAATAATTAATATGCACCCAATGAACGTATTTTTTTGTTAGGATCCAGTACCAACATTGTACCATACAGTCAATATCATACTGCACTAGACTCAACCTCTACATATTGATATGAACTCCACAGTACGTCTCCTATAAAAGCCTTGAATCCTCTGGTGATAAGAGGATGTTTTAGAGAGCATTTTCAACCTTGTAAATTGACTTTACAGTGGTAAAATTTCTAAGGATTTTTTTTTTAATTTATCATAACACTATAGAATTTACAGGAACTATAATACTGCAGCCTAATAGAATCAATTTTGTTATCATACTATAGACTGTGGTTTCAGGTCTTTTTCAAGCCAAAAAATTTATCAAAAAATGTTCACTCCTGCACCATTGTGCATTGAATATTGATTTTACAATGAAGTTTACCAGGGGAAAGAAATGTTAAGGTCACTAGCTAGACTGCTATTAAAGATTGTACAGGGTGTGAACTTTCAGATCAATATATCACAAGATTTATCTTACAACTTTAAAGTTACACAGGCTAAAATTCTGGTTAATATGGTACATGTTGAAACAAGAGATCTCTGAGGGATCTTGGTGTCCATTTGCTCTGATGTTAGACTGACCATTTCTATCTTATGACTTTTTTCCAGTAATTTGTTATTGTCCAGTTGAAGTGGTAGTTACATATTCAAATCTTAAATTAAAAATGGTTCTTTGTGGTCATCTGGTGCACAATTTCAATTAATTTGGCACCTTCATGAATTTGTCATCTATGACAATACCTTCAAAAAGTTCTTAGAAAATAATAAAGAAATCATTCTCAAAACCCAAAGAGACTGCTGCCAGTGATGTTGAATATACAACCTCCTAGGACCTAAAATATTGACAGATTTTCAAAATAATTCTTAGTGATTTCATATAAATATAGTGATTATAAAATTCAAATGTCAAAATCCGAAACACACTGCAGCCATCTTGAAATTTGTATAACACAAAATAGCAAATCATTTGATTACGACAATCTGTTGTTCTGGAGAAATAGCTATCATAAATTTGAAATGTCAAATTATAAAAAAAAATGTCTGCATGCATCTATCTTACTTATTGGATTATGCTCTTATGAATGCATCAATAACTAAAACCCATATACTAAATAAGTCGTTGGAATTTCAAGAAGATCCCTTCTGCATTTCTAAAGAAGCAGAGAGCTACCACAGAAAATTGTTAAAAGACAGACTTATGAAGAGATGAATCATGGATCTTAAGATGATGGGCAAAAAAACCATTAAGTATTAGATCTCAATTTATTAAATAAATTATTTTGATATTTTTAAAATGATTGCATGTACAGAAATTCTAAATATATTCAGTACAAAAGAATTGTATTATCAACAAATGGGAAAAATGTTGATCAAGTTACCTTGTCGTATACCAAACATTGGCTGATTATACACACTATTTTTCAGATCCTTAACGAACCCTGAACATATAATAAAAATTAATATGGAAAAGCCTCAGTTATGACAGGATCATTAGTGTATCAGATAAGAAATCAACATTATTTGTTTATAACAATTCACTATGTATAACAGCTGGTGTAACATCACGTGACATCATTACAGATAACTTGTGCCATTTTCAGTCATTCAAATTCATTCATGAATTGGCCATCACATTCCAAACCAAAATGTTCAACAGATAAATCTCTTATCTATTCATTGTTTATTGTTTGTACATGTACATTTTAAGGTATTTGTACATTTTATGATGTTGTGGTCAACTTTTTGTCTATATCAATGACTGACAGCGATCTACACACCCATGTGAATGTACAATGATCATTCATACAAATAACAGTGTGTTGCTATTGACTACTCAAATCAGTCTAAAGTGGGCAGGGCTCGGTGATTTTTTATCATCAAAAAAATATATGAATCAGAAATCTGTGTTTTGCTTAAACAACTAAAGATTAATTATCAGGTTTTAAAAAGAATCATTATATAACATACTGGAAAATTTGAATTTGATAATAAACAGTAAAATGTTCATTCTGTGTTTCCAAGTTATTTGAAAGTCCATATTTATATCAAATATCAACATTTTTAAAAGTGATATATCATATATTCATTGTTCAGATGTGTAAAAATGCCTTTCAATATCCCTCTCCATTCTTGAAATTTACTAATTTTTTAGCGTAAAAGCAGGCTTCAGTTATAATTCATATAGCTTCTTGTGCATTTTCAGTGAGATTTCGGGCAAATAACCTCAGATTTTCTACTATATATAGCTTAAAAAGAAGATGTTGAAACACATTACTAGTATTGTCACAGTGGTTAATTAAATATCCTTAATTCAAGAAGAAGGTAATGACATAAAACAAAACAAAAAATTATACATTAGTATAATGTAGGGAAATATCTTTTATTTAAAAAGTAAGTTTTTGACATAAGATGAAAGACAAATGATACAGCAATATAATTAAAGAAATACCCTCAGATTGAAAAACATTGTCTAAAGATATTGGCAAATAAGATTTCAATAAAAAAAAGAATAATGAAAAATTCTATCTATAATTAAATTATCTACATAATTTGTTGATCTATTTCCAGTGTATTGTTTTAACGCATCCGACCATCCTAGAAGCTAACATTAAAAAATTCTAGGATTGGCCTGCTAAATCCACATATCTAAACACAATCTGGATTGCTGTTATAATATGGATTAGTCTGATTGAAGGATTGTATTACAGGTAAGTTCGGTTGAAGGTTTGTGTTACAGGTAAGTCTGATTGAAGGATTGTATTACAGGTAAGTCTGGTTGGTTGATTACAGATAAACAGGTAAGTTTGGTTGAAGGATTGTATTACAGGTAAGTTTGGTTGAAGGATTGTATTACAGGTAAGTTTGGTTGAAGGATTGTATTACAGGTAAGTTTGGTTGAAGGATTGTATTACAGGTAAGTTTAGTTGAAGGATTGTGTTAAGTTTGAAGGATTGTATTAAGGTAAGTTGTTGAAGGATTACAGGTAAGTTTGGTTGAAGGTAAGTCTGATTGAAGGATTGTATTACAGGTAAGTCTGGTTGAAGGATTGTATTACAGGTAAGTTTGGTTGAAGGATTGTGTTACAGGTAAGTCTGATTGAAGGATTGTATTACAGGTAAGTCTGGTTGAAGGATTGTATTACAGGTAAACAGGTAAGTTTGGTTGAAGGATTGTATTACAGGTAAGTTTGGTTGAAGGATTGTATTACAGGTAAGTCTGGTTGAAGGATTGTATTACAGGTAAGTTTGGTTGAAGGATTGTATTACTGGTAAGTTTGGTTGAAGGATTGTATTACAGGTAAGTTTTGTTGAAGGATTGTATTACAGGTAAGTTTGGTTGAAGGATTGTATTACAGGTAAGTTTGGTTGAAGGATTGTATTACAGGTAAGTTTGGTTGAAGGATTGTATTACAGGTAAGTTTGGTTGAAGGATTGTATTACAGGTAAGTTTGGTTGAAGGATTGTGTTACAGGTAAGTCTGATTGAAGGATTGTATTACAGGTAAGTCTGGTTGAAGGATTGTATTACAGGTAAGTTTGGTTGAAGGAGTTACAGGTGTTGAAGGATTGTATTACAGGTAAGTTTGAAGGATTGTATTACAGGAAGTTTGGTTGAAGGATTGTATTACAGATTTGGTTGAAAACAGGTAAGTTTGGTTGAAGGATTGTATTACTGGTAAGTTTGGTTGAAGGATTGTATTACAGGTAAGTTTGGTTGAAGGATTGTATTACAGGTAAGTTTGGTTGAAGGATTGTATTACAGGTAAGTTTGGTTGAAGGATTGTATTACAGGTAAGTTTGGTTGAAGGATTGTATTACAGGTAAGTTTGGTTGAAGGATTGTGTTACAGGTAAGTTTGGTTGAAGGATTGTATTACAGGTAAGTCTGGTTGAAGGATTGTATTA